GATTGTTTTATTCTGTTGACAGCCCCTGAAGACTTCCCTTTAGTTGTTATTTTAGAAAGATTTTTACCATGTAATTTCATCTTCTTGAGTCTTGTTTAACATCTCTGCTTATCTGGTGGGCACGTTCTGTGCAAATACATTTTTTTGTTGATTTTTTTAAAAATATGTTCCTATACTGAAACAAGTGCAATTATTTGATATACAGAACGTTAATTTGTGATTATACTGGTTGTTTACTGGTTACCTACACACAGGATGACAATACTATTTTGACATCAAACCATGTCTTATTGTCATGCCAAGCACCAACATGCTACACATGTGAACATGTGAAATTGAAATATGCAAGGTAAAATGATTAAAAAAATGTTAAATCCATGTGCCTGAGTGAATCATAAACAGAAGGATTAAGCTATAACCTTGTTGAGAAAATACAATTTCATTAATGGAGGCTGGTTCAGACAGCAGCCAAGCTAGTCACTTGTAAAATTACCCCAAGCTAAGAAATCGTTACACATCATCAGCTCTCTGTTTCTTCCTAAATTTACATATAAAAACATGGAGGGGCAGTTTCACATTTAAAAGTCTTCTTACCAGTTTGAGCACCTATTGTACAGTATGAACTGTAAAGCAGCTGCAGCTTGTTCAGAATGTTGCTGCTAGATTATTAACCAGGACTAAGAGAATAGAGCACATCACTCCGGTTCTTAAAACTCTGCATTGGCTCCCAATCAGTTATAGAATAGTTTTTAAAGTGATGCTCTTAGTTTATAAAGCACTGAATTGTTTAGGTCCTGAGTACATTTCTGAAATGTTTCAAAAATATAAACCAAGCAGGGCTCTTAGATCAATGAACTCAGGTCAGCTAGTGGAGCACAGAGTTAGAACAAAGCATGGAGAAGCTGCGTTTAGCATCTCTGCACTACACGACTGGAACAAATTACCAGAAGATCTTAGAACGTATTGATTTTTAAATCCAAGTTGAAAACATTTCTTTTTTCACGTGCTTATGACTGAGGTCTTAAACCTAGCTGTACTGTTCAGCCTTACAGTTTCTTACGTCTTTCTATCTTAATTGTTTTAAATCTTGTTTGTATCTTGTATTTTTATTATGATGTTTAATTATTTTTCATTGAAAAGCGCATTGAATTGCTTTGATGGATGAATTGTGCTATATAAATAAACCTGATTTGATTTGAGTATGTGACATAAAAATGTAGAGTAATTGATCATATTTTTTGACTATCTCTGCTTCGGAATCTCCAGGTGTCCAGCGTCCTCTTGTCAGTATGACGTAGACTTTAGAAATGTTTAATACAAAATACATAATCTCAAAGGCCTCAGAGTCAAAGCTCAATTTCACGTAATTCCTCATAAAATATAAAATTCATTATTTGTTAAATAAATTCAGCTCAGTTACACTAATTTCTCCTCTGGCTGGCTTCTCTTTGATTTGCTTTTATTACACTATTATTATTGTAGTGGCTAAAATTATGAATGATATTAGTATAATTGACTAATTGTAGCTGTATACTGTACTATCTATTTTTTTCAATAACATTAATTTCTCCATGCTAAAAGAGTCTTGGACAGTGTTGTTATGGTTAACTAAAATTATTAAAAATTATGCTCTGAAATTGAAATAAAGTAATAAAAAAAAAATGAAATAAAATGAAAAACGTAAACTATTACAGTTATAGCTGCCAAGACAACATTTCTTATTTTCGTTTAAGTTGAAGTAAAATGACTAAAACTGAAATAAAAATAAATTAAAGGTAAATAGAAATATTTTTAAATGACAAAAGCAATAAGCAATTAGCAATAAGATTACTAAAACATAAATGAAAACTGAAAATATAACAAATAAAAGCAAATTCCAAATATTAACCCTTAAATGCATGAATGTTTCGCCAATCATTATTACATATTTGGGTCTTTAGCGACCCGGATCTATATCTAACACGGATGGATCTCTACCTGTCGCAATAATATAAAACTCTCCTGATATATAACTCTCCTGGTTATTTGGATGTTACCGATGAGTATATCCATAATGTGAGCAAATATGTTGTAACGTAACTTTGTATTCTTTGAGCTGTTTTAGTGTAAATCTATTTTCTCAATTACAAAAGAATAAAATAAAGCATATTTTGTTACCTTTTGGTGCTTGGAAGGGTTCAGTTTGAACAGATGTTTTATACCATCATCACTGTCCTCGTCAGAGCTCATTTCCCAATACATTCAGCATAGGTTAAAAAAATGATTTCAGTTCAGATAATGCTTTTAAAAATAAAATGACATTTTTAAAAAAACCTTAAATCATTATTCCAGATGTCGTCTGAAAATGTGGTGACTTCTATTTAAAAAAGCAAAAGAAAAAAAAAGCAATCAATTAGTGGAGAAAGCAGCCAAGTCACAAATCTCATAGATTAGGAATTTTGAAATTCCCCTGGTATTTACAGTGGTTTTATAGAGGTAAATCAATGCATAACTCTGGCGTAAATATGGCATTTCACTGTCAAGACAGATTACGGCTAGAGAAGTGCTTTTTTTCCACACTTTTGAAATCTGTTTTCATACTTGGAATATTTGTACCAGACAGAGAGGAAAACCTCTTCAAAACAGTCCCAAAATATCAATCTCCTATGTATCAACATGAATGGTCCACAGCTTTGTGAAATCCAAGTGGAGATGATTTGAGAAAAAGACAAGTGAAATAATAAATCACACATGCGACGTCTCTTTGAGATACAAACAGTTCTCTCCAATTCTGATTTGTATTTGATTTATGACATTTATAACACATACTGTCAGCAAGAGTGTGTGAGCCGCTGCACTGCAATCCAGAGTAATCAGTCACAAGCTTACGATCAGATATCCAAAGGTTCAAGAGCAGGGTGAAAGGTCAGACCGGCTGCCAGAAGCCATGCATTTTTTATTTGATTAAAGAACATTTGAAGCAGATTATGCAATCATTACACAAATGTGCATGGGAAGCAGTCTGTCATATCAACTGAATTGTCAGTTCACGCTGGAAGCGTTTTCACAAACAGTGATACTCAATATAACACAAAAAATAAAAAACGATGAAAGCGAGATTCATTTGGCACCAAACATATTTGGATATTAGAAATTTGTGCCACTGTTCATAAACATTCAATAAAATGCGTGAACAATTAACAGTAGACATAAAAGTTAAAAAAATTGGTGTGTTTTTTTTTAAAGAAATTGTATTTTAAAGGATTATGGCCAGTGTAATCTGGATTACTGATGTGTGCGTCATTGCTCTTTAGAGAGCTCTGTGTTCTCAGTCATTTAAAGCACTAAAGTCATTTTTAACTATAGTGTGGAATGAAAAGGGATAAATACATATCGCCTACATAACTTTTGTAGTAACTTGACCTGACTGTCAAAAACTGGATATCAAGAATGAATTAGCATTTAAATAATCCACTAACAGAATTGTTTTAGTATTAAGTATTTCTTTATTATATTTTTATTGCACTTTTTCACAGATTAGAACTCAAAAACATCATCCATTCATTGAGAAAAATAGATTTTCACTAAAACAGCTCAAAGAATACAAACTTCCGTTACAACCCATTTGAATCAATCCATCAATATTTTTCCTCTCTTTTGGAAAGTATCAGAATTGCTATCATGGATTTTTTCTATTTTATATATATATATATATTGGAGCAAATGGGAATACAAAAATGATATTTGTTGTCATCTCCCATTCACCAATATAGAAGTTTACCCAACTATGACGACTTCTGCTTCTGAGAACCCCGAAAATGTGAAAAGGGCCCATTGTTTAATCTCCAGTTTACTAAAGCCTGGTCTGAAGAACTCAATTACAACACAATAATGTAGACAGCAATGTTTATTTCACTGTTGTGCATCTTGGCCGAGATATACAAATCAGTTGTTGATGACAAGACATCTACTGAACATGACAACTTTGCACATTATTTACAGGTTATTGAAAAATGCACTTGAGAAAGTCAAGCTTAAAGTGGACACAAGAGCTTTTAAAGATTAGCCTGATTCTATGACAAGTGACACAAGAACCACTGCAGAGATATTGCGTCGGGGTAAACATTTATCAACCATTTGTTATTAAGCGTGTCACTATTGTGGTACAGACAAAAGTACAGTATATCTTTCATTTGTATCCTTAATAGTTGATATATTGTCCAGGCATTTTTGAAATATCATTTATACATATTCTGTTTACTTATCTAACACAGAATTGGTAACTTGTATTGCATTTCGTTCTTTCAGCATATTATATACTTTTTCAAGTGTATTCACGAAGATGTTAAATAAATAGTATTTGTACAAATGTGTAAAATGGGTGAAATGATGTCTTTCTGAAAATGTCCCAAATTTGTATTACTACATTATAGTATGAAATTCTTCAAATTCTGGCTTCTAAAGTTGCAAAGTAAACGCACATTGTATGCAATTTCACCCGTTAGGTTGCAGAATTACTTGTCATTATTAAGCTATTGGCTTGTGATATTCAGTCTGTATAGTAATGATATTACTGTTATGCATAAAAAGTGAAACTATAAGTATTTGTAATACTAATATTTAATAGTGAAATGCATTTTTATGTTGCCTGAGAAAATATTTTTTCTTACAGTGTACAGAATACCTTCATAAAGAAATGATTTGGCATTAATTTTTTTTTTTTTTTTTTTGTCAGAACATTTCCAATTGCAGTAAGTCTCGTGCATAATCTTTTTCTTTTGACTAATCTTGTGCGCTGGGGAATGTGTTTTCATGAAAAGCACCGTTGTTTCTGGGATTAGAAAATGTTCGCCTAATTCTGTCTCATAAGCTGGATGTAGACCTTATCTCAAGTCATTTCCTTATGAATAAAGTACACTTTATGTTCTGTGTGCTAAACTGTGCATTTTGGTTAACATGAACATATCAAATGTAGGCTACCTACTGTAGAAATGGTAAAAGTATTGAACTCTTAAAGGTAGCAGTAATTACATTTCTGTTTATTCTTTTTAGTAGCGCCACATTTTTGTTTGCTTGACATTTAAAAAGGCTGTTTGATGTACAGCGTAACGGCGCTTATACTGTATACAATCAAAAATCTCAACAGTTCACCAGCAACCTCAAAACATATGATTCCTGATTGTGTTTCCATTCAGAACCGCATATATGGAAGCAGCTTAACTCTTATTGAATGACGGCCACACATTCTCTTCTTACATGTGCTTTGTAATGATACGGATAAAACTGGACCCCGTTCTGTAACATTTCCATTAGGAGCAGCTTATGTGCTTTGTCAAAATATCAGTTTAGAAATTTTATTACATGTTGCAATCCCCTATATTAAATATAACATACCAAAATATACCACAAACAGACTCCACACTCACGACCACAAACAGTCCACAAAAATACAGCAAGGATGATATAAGCACACAAAGCCAATAAGCATGTTTCATACCTGTTAGAAACCACCAGGACATTAACTGTTATTGTCATATGCTTCGTTTATTTGGACTTGTTCTCAATAGCAATAGTCTCAATCTTTTGACCAGTGAGCAACTGCCAGATTCCTCCCCTGTAGTTCTCGTTTCCGAGGGCGTAAACAAAGACGTTGAAAGTAGGTGATGTCTTAGCCAAAATGGGTGCAATCTGTAAGAACACATCCAAATCAGACTCTTTCTATGCACATACTACTGAAAATAGTTTAACAGAAATGTTATTTATCAGGTCATGTGTTTATGCTATTGTCTCTTAAGCTCACCAAGGCTGATTTTATTTGATAAAAAAAACAGCGATAATACAATTTAAAATAATGGTTTTCTACTGTTTTATATTTTAAAATGTAATTTATTGCTGTGATGTCAAAGCTGAATTTTTAGCAAGAAACATTTCTTATGAAGTTGTTACAGTTTATATAATTTATACAATTACAATCTATTTTAAGTACAATTCTTTTGTAACATTATAAATGTCTTTACTGGAACTTTTGATCAATTTAATCCATCCTTGCTGAATAAAGGTATTCATTTCCTTAAACAAATAAATAAAGGTAGTCTATGAGTTTATGTGAGATTTACTGGTTATCTCATTATATTCATTCCAGACCTATATGACTTACTTTCTTCCGAGGAACACAAAATAACATATTTTGATGAACATACTGTATAATAAAAAAATATATATATGTTTTTAATATGATGAAAGTCAATGGGGTTCAGTGTTGTATTGGAACCCATTCAGTTTCATTTGACAAAAACAGTTGAAACAGTCGAAAATATCGTCTTTTGTGCTCCCCAGAAGACACAGATTATTCATGCTTTTAAAACAATGACTTCCTCACCATTCTCAGTTTAGGAGAGACGAGGGTTGCGTTCTCCACAGCAGCATAGAAAGCCAGGATACCATACGGGCCCCAGCAAAACAGCATGGTCTTCAGAGGAGTGCTACAGTTGAACTGCACATAGAGAGCAAGCAGGAGATTTCCAAGTCACATGCTGCAGATTTAACTCAGATGTAACTTATACACCATTAAACACCCTACTGTTCATATAAACAGTAATTTTTGTGATTTGAAGTTTCCTTACTATACACGGTGTAACTGTCATAGATCTAACCTTACCTTTACAGTAAAATATTGTTAAATCTACAGTTTTTGGAAGTGAAAAAGAACAAGTCATTGACAAATTGACAATCACAGAATTCCTTGTGTCACTTCACATTTGATGTATTTTCGTTGAAATAACGGTTTCTTAGTTTTTCTAATCAGTTATGGACATCTAATGTTGTTAAATGAATGTTTATTGCATTATTTTAGTGTCATGTGTATTACCATGATGGTGTTTAGTATTTGTGTGAATAACACTGCGCCTTTTATAAACATGTACACATTCTCAGCTTGTGGAAAAGCTGCTTGTGATTCATCAGGGGACTAACCACCACCTGTTTTGGTGGTTGTCAGTGTATTACAAAGGCACAAAACAGATATTAGTACTTTATTAACATTAATATCAGTTAGTGAAATATGTTTTTTTACAGTAAATTTAAGTTAAATCTGTAAAACCTAAAATGTTGGTACTGTTTTTTTTTTTACGGTAAATTTATGGCAACCACAGCTGCTGTTTTTTTTTACCGTAAAGTTAACAGATTTTTTTACAGATTTATTTTTTTTTAAGCTAAATTTGGCACAAAGGCTTAACAAACACATAATGAAAGGACATACAATACTGTATTTACAAACTAGAATACAGTTCAGTAGTACAGTAGTAGAATACAGTAGTAGGCCTACATTAAAGTCCTACTGTGCCAATGTTATTTTAGTATTATTTATATACTGTTACATGTTTCATAATTTTTTGAATTAGCTTTTATTTTAGTTTCATTTTTAGTAATTTTGGTATGTGCCAACATTTTCATGTTTTTTAAAAGAAAGAGATTTAATTTTATTTTAGTTTGCGTTTATTTCCTGTAAGTAATTTTAGTGTTTTCATTTAGGTTTTTCATCTTATATTATTGTTATTTATTAGAGCTTTATTTTAGTTAAAACATTTATTTTTAATAGTTAACGTTGATTACTCTGTTCTGTGCTGGTCTTAACTGTCTGTAAGGAAATCCCCTTCTTCTGCTATCACTTTGGTATTGGTGTGCATGCTATTTTTTAGCGTTGCGTAATAGTTCTGTCCTGGAGAAGAGTTCAGTAGCTGTTGCAGAGATGCCTTTGTGCTTGCAGGCAAAACGTTTCTTTGACCCACTCAGTCACCGTGAATAACGGTCTTATGCAATGTGAGGGGAAATGTTTACTCTGTCTGTACTCATGCGCATTTTGATCTCACATGTCAAATTCTAATATTGTGCAGAGGATACTTCACCTTAGCCTGCCCACTCTTTTGGAATTTCCTATCAATGGACTGATAGGAAGACAGCACGACAAACACCTGAATGCCCATGTTGAAGATGGACATGGGGATCAAGTAAGACACGTAGTTCCTGAGGAGGACAGACGAAATTACATGTATAGGCCTTCAAGGGTCTTATTTCACAGTGAACAGATTTACAAGGAAATGAAACTTTCCATGACCATAATATTGCTTTCGTATATTTGTAAACATGGGTCAGAATGCATATTTGAATATATGTCAGAAAGAATGTGGGTCTGAAACCGACACTAGAGCAAAGTTGTATGTTATAACATGACGTGAATTATGAATGTACTGTGCATCTTACCTATCCCCCTTGCTGTAGTCCAGTGTGCAGCAGGTCCTCAGGGGCTCGTAGTCATACTCTCCCCAGCCAATCAGAGGCATGGCGGACCAGAAGGCAGTGAAGAGCCAGATGAAGATAACCAGGGTGATGGCGCTGCTCCACTGCAGCTTTGTCCCTAATGATACAAGGTGATCAAACATTGTGCTGTGTACTAAATTGTTTTATTTAATGACCCTAAACGTTTTTTAAGGTTTTGATGTTAACACACCAAATAATGTTAGACCTGAGTTCACAGTCAGTGTTGACATTTGTACTAATTTAAAATGGCCATTCACTGAGATTTTGAAAAGAATGGTCTTAGGTGAAGCCTATAAGTACCTTCAGCTGGTGGTCTTTGCAACATGGGTGGTCTGAACTAGAACAAAGACTGTCAAATTTCCCATTGAAGCGCAGGTCCTATTTGGTGAAAGGCATCTCATTGTTTTTTACTAAGGTTCTCTGTTCCTGTTACTCACTTGTGCAGTACTGGTGGTATCTGTCCCAAGCAATGGCTGCAATAAAGTGGATGCTGGCAAGAGCAGTCATAAAGCCCTGGAAGCCATGGGTCTGACATCCATCTGATCCATAAGGCCAGTATCTGGAGTTTCAAGAAGATCACGTATTAAAAAAAAGATGGTTGAAATTAAAATTAATTTAGTAATGTTTAATGTATTTTTCTCAGTGACAGATTCTTAAACGTTTTGTCTCTCCTATCTTGAATATTTGTTCACGTCTTTGCTTGTATCAGTAAATTTGGAAATCCAACATATTTTGGAACATGGTACACTGTAAAAAATGATCAGTTGACTTAACTTGGTAAAAAAGAAGAGAGGAAACCCGTTGCCTTAAAATTATTAAGTAAATAAACTATGTATGTGAACTTGACAATTCCATATAACTGCATGTTTTCAATTACGCATGAATTTTATTTATTAATTTTAAGGCAAGGGTTTCCTCACTTTTTTTAAGTTAAGTCAGCTGATCATTTTTTACAGCTGGTTTCTGTTCCAAACTGGTCTTTAGCTGGCTACAATGTTCCAAAAAAAAAGCTGGTAGCTGGTTTGTTTCTGGCCTAAAATGGTCTACCAATTTGCACCAGCTAATGAACTACCTGGACCAGTTAAACCAGCTTAATTTGGATTTTCCAACAGGCCATTCCTGCTGAAAACAAACAAAAAAAGATTTCAAAAAAAAAGATTTTGATGGTCTTAACTGGTTTAAAATGATCTGAGATGGTGCTCAGCTGGTAATGCAGCTTGGTGGCTGTGCCTGGGGGCAGCCAAAAAGCCTCAAACCAGCCCGACCAGGCCGGGAGACCAGCAAGTCATCTGGATTATGCTATTATTATTACAGCAAGGATGTGATTAAAAGACATTTCATCCCACAAGGAATTTAAAAAGCCCTGCAACCCCAACTATCCCTTTAATTTAACAGCTGCACTTTAGTAATTTATTACGAGAAAAAAAAAGACCCCTCATTACATCACAGCTGTATTTATACACTGGCATCCGTGACGCACCATCGCCTCTAGGGGTTCCGTCAACAACAACATCATCAACACACAAACGTGCGCGTGCTCACCTCAGAAAGCTTGAGAAGGCAGCGACAGTGGCGTTCATAGAAATACCCATATCTGCCATGGCCAGACTGAACACGAGAAAATTACTTGGGGTCCGTAATTCTCTTATTTTAAGAAAAGCAACAACGGTGACAGCATTCAGGAAGAACCCGAGGAGACCTTTAGAGGACACAGAAAACGTGTGAACAATCAGAGCCTTCCCAACCAAGCCCCCATAACAGCGTAGTTATGACACAGTAATAGGCTCTACAAGCTAGTGGCACCCTTCAGATAGATAGTTCTATCTATAAATCAACATTATGTGTTATTGATTTTGTAACCGTTTGCTATCTCATTCCCGGGTGAAGCACATCCTATCAAGGCTATACATCCATCCACAAAGTAAGATTTGCACGCGATCCTCTCTCTCTCTTTTTTATACCCTGAACAAGATTCTGCTTACCCTCCACGAGCAGACAAGATCCCAGGGAAAACACATCGAACTCGGAGAATCCCTCCGGTAATGGATACGTTACCATTTTGAACGCAATTTTGACACCAAAGTGTGCAGAATCACAGTCCGCTCGCTCGCGCGATGTGCCTCAGTGTGTTCAAACGAAGCCTTCTTTTAAAGGAGCGTTTCACGTGAAAAAGCATGAACGTAATTATGTAAAGCTCTCCCTCTGCCTCAATCCGCGCAAGAATGTATTAATGAACATAACAACTCCTACCATTGACCCCTAATACGTATTTACACAGGGCATCAGTAAAGCGCTCATTCAGTTACACAACAAGCCTTTGTGTGTCGGACGCTTGAGCGCACTGATGGTAAGACCGGGCTGAATGTGAACCAGTTGAGCCTGTGCCAATTCAGTGTGTTGTGTTCTGTTCGCTGGCTGAACAACAGGTGTCGTTGAGCTGTCACTCCAGACACTGATAGACATTGTGGATTTGACGGTTTGCATACGGATGACGGGAGTAACTGTTTTTACAATGGCTTTTCTCAAATGCAGACTGTCACATTGGTGGTGAGGAGATACTGAATAGATCTTCAGACACAAGAGGGAGAGAGAAAATGTCAATGTCTTCACAAATAGAAAAGTAGTGTTTCTTCTAAGAAATAATTGTGGGGTCATTTAAACCTGTGCATCCTCAACTTAGATAATTTAGTTGGTTCAGATAACATAATATTTTGGGTTTCTTTTGATTAAACCAATCTCCTTCATTGTATTAACTTTTTTATTTTTTTATTTCAATGAACTTACAATTTAATGGCAACCGGGTTGCTTACTTTTTTAAGTTAAACCAATAATATATAGTCATAATCATAAATTGTGTTCGGTGCTGAAATAGAAACATTTTGAATATTTGTTTAGACAATAACCACTCTGAATCCTGCTCTATTAAAAGATGCTTTGTTTCCAGATTGCATTATTGAGTGGAAGCCAAATAAAAAGACAAGTTACAAAGAGTAACACTGATACACTAACCTACTTTTTTGTTTTGAAAATCTATTCATTGGTGTTTTATCACATGAAGTCCTGCAATTCCACATAAAATATATAATTGTATGTGGAATTTTCAATATATATAATGAAATGGCAAAATCCTCAAGGCTTATCGTATACAGTTAACAAACAAGACCCATATTGTTCAGTCATTGCCTCAGCTAAGATTATGAGGTTGTGAAACAATACTATAGGCCTACATGTTAAAAAAAGAATAAGTCATATGACAGTATAAAAGCAAACATATTTTTTTAAAGGTTTGTATAAGAAAATATGTTCCACTCAAGTTTGCAATCCACATAACAGTATGTTAGAAAACCACTTTACAATATGGTTTCATTTTTTAACATTAGTTAACTACATTACATGAACTAACGATTAACAATACTTCAGCATTTAATCATCTTAGCTGATGTTAATTTCTACATTTACTAATGCATTATTAAACTCAAGTTATTTCTGTTGCACTGTGAACTAACATAAAAATGAATAATTGTAGTTTTATTAACATTAACAAAGGTTAATAATATGCTGTAAAATGTATTGCTAGTTACTTAATCATGGTGCATTAACTAATGAGACCTGTTACTAAAAATACTTTTTTTTTCTTCAAATTATGGTATATATACCACAGATCAGCAATGTTTTATATGCATTTTTAGAGCAAAAGATTTTGTTTGAAAAAACTTAAAAACATACTTAAAACATAAATGGTCTTGAAAACACTAGTCCCGAGACTGTTACGACTAGATCTCTCAAAGCTGTGATTTTTCGCACATTATGATCATATGTTCCTCACATACAGCTCTGTTCAATAACTTGTGAAATACAGATTTGTTTTGCTTTTTTTCAGTGCATATGGGATTAGGATAGTACAGAACCATAATTCTCATGAGGTTTACTGTACTTACAGCAGCTTTTAGCTTTTACTCTATCTGAAGCTATACTTTCTAACTGTGAAACTCACAAAAAGATCTTTAAGGGAATAATGTGACCTTAGTAGGTGTGTGAGAGAGGTTTAGGCAGTCAGAGGTTAACGGAAATGTTAACACATTTTACACATTCCCCACACATTAAAACAATAAACACTTTGCTAGTTTTCTTTTCTTAAGCTCATGGCAGTTGAGAAATTCGGTTTTATATTTACATTACATTTTATATTGGCACTAATCAGAACAGATGATCTGGTGCCAAGGTTTAACCCATGTTGTATTTACAAACCTATAGCATAAACAAATAGGCTTCTGCGAAAAATAACTCTCGAGGGCCAATGATTACAGGAAACCAGACCAGTTTTATACCAAGGAAAGATTTAAACCTTGAAGCAAAACCTTGAAACTCATTTGCATTAAGCCCTCATTCCAAAAACTCTAGATTTCTAAACATTATTTCCTGCATTTTTCTTGTTACTGTTTTGAGCTTATGCTGTTAAGATATTTTCTGGTTTATTTATTATTATTATTATTATTTTTAGATTGGATTGTTTCTGTCTATTAAGCATAGTTGTATTTACAAACCCTGCAACAGGCTATTAGGAAGAACAAGCTGCCTGTGATCCAAGGCCTAACAGGATTACATGAAGGAAAATATTTAAAAAATCCGGTTGGATACGCCACTGAACAATAGCCAACTTTGGATGTCCTTAGTCTGAGAGACAACTCTCATGCTGATGACTTTAATAGACATCAGTATTTTCATTCAGTATAGTCATAGCAACCCATAGATCAAAATGTCTCTTTCAAAAGCACACAAGTATTCTCACTTTAGTAGATAGCCTATATAACATTGAGGTAAATACTACTTGAGTGTTGTTTAGTGTTGAACTGATTTTTGATCTGGTTTTTATTTTGTATTTATTTTTTTACAGATGTTGAAACTAAATCTTTCAATACTCCCTGGTCTCCTCTGTTTTTTTGTTTTTTTTTAAGGTCAATGCAACAGTGCATGGTACAGCCAGAACAGACCAGCTTCCAAAATATCATCAGCTCTTACACATTCTAGAAGTGAATCCGTAAAATACAACAAATTCCGAAGTTTAACTGTCAGGCAGAGAATGGTTCAAAAGAGAGCTACAGATGCGTATTAAACATCATGGCCAATTCGAAAAGATTTCATCCCTATAATTAACATCATGTATCTCTATGCAGCCTATCAGATTCCAGGATGCATACGCATCTAAATGAAAATAACGCGCATGCTTTCGCTAATCCTCGTCTGTCCTTTTTATCTGCTGGCCTCGTTGCAGTCAGATCATTATGGGAGATCGGAGCAGAGGGAGGATGACATGCTGGTTATTTTTTCCATAATTGCAAGTGGATGGTTCTTCGTTAAAACTACGTCCCGCGGTGTTTTGTTGACATTAGTGGCAAAATGTCTCTTATTGTCTTTTTGGGTCTCCTACTGGCATCTGGTGGCTTTCCACTTGTTCGGAGCACATGTCCTTCCCAATGCAGCTGCTTTTATCATAACCTGAGTGATGGTTCCAGAGCCAGGTTCGTGTGTATTTAATTATCTCAACTTTATTGAATGAATGCAATGCATTTTTTTTCGACTTGAAATGTGGTGCACTGGTGCATTTTGCGCATTCCACATCATGTAGCTATGTTTTACACATGAACAATATTGTGTGTGATATCGTTTAGAATGTATTTTGCACACACAATTTGTTCATTTATGTTTTAGTATTGATTCGAGTTTTAAAAGATGATACATTTAATCAGTTTAAACAAGAAACATTTTCAAGAATTGTCATTTCGCAATGTGAGTACATTATGACGCAATTAATGATTCTTGACAAATTTTGTTTTATTTCTTTCTTTTTCCACAAGCTTTTGTCAGACTCAGTCAAAGACTGCTGCTTAAAGATTCGTGTGCGCATGCTTTAAAATCCCTTATTATAAGTCTTTATTCTTGTTTCTAATGCGTTTCGCAGGAGTGTGATTTGCAACGATCCAGAAATTTCACTGGTGCCCGCCACGTTCCCAGGGGACACCTCGAAACTTCGGATTGAAAAGACTGCGATCAAGAGGATCCCAAGCGAGGCTTTTAGCTACCTCTCTAATTTAGAATTCCTTTGGATGTCTTTTAACGTTTTGTCCTCTCTCAACTCGGACAGTTTCCGTGGCTTGGACAGTTTAGAGGAACTAAGGCTAGATGGAAATTCTCTCACTTCGTTTCCGTGGGAATCCCTCATGGACATGCCCAGTCTGAGGCTACTCGATATACACAACAACCAGCTGTCCTCAGTCCCCTCTGAGGCCGCTCTCTACATGAAAAACTTAACCTACCTGGATCTATCCAGTAATAATCTGCTGACAGTGCCACCTGAGGTCCTCAACACTTGGTTGACGGTCAAACCCGTCCAGGGAGCAGAAAGTTCAAAAATGATTCTTGGTAAGGTTTTCCTTCGTCTTATTTTCTTAATTTTATATATTGGCGTAATTTTATATTATATTATTTATTAGAAATAATATTTTAAAATATGTAATCTATTTTAAAATATATACTGTAATAATACCAATATATAACACTGTAAAAAAAATCTAAGTTGTAAATAAAGATTATTGGAATATGTTTTGCAAGAAAATATATTTCAGTCTTTCAATATCAAAATTTCACGTTTTTAATGTGTTACTTGCCATTTCTCTTGTAGTTATTTGTAACTTGCAAGTAACTATTTCTGAGTGAAGTAAATTTTAATAGGTGTAGGATTTTTTTTTATAAGTCAATTTTAAAAGTTTTTTGCATAAAAAACACCCGCAACAGATGCCTTCAGAAAAGGAAATGCCCTTACAATGATCACCTTTTATTACAATTATAACGCTTTTCTTAACTTAAGTGGTTTTTTCAACTTGATCATTTCTTTTGCCCCAGGTCTCCATGACAACCCATGGTTGTGTGATTGTCGACTATATGACCTGGTCCAGTTCCAGAAGTCTCCTAGTCTGTCAGTGGCCTTCATTGACACAAGGCTCAGGTGCGCTGATCCAGAGAGCCTCTCTGGAGTTCTGTTTAGTGATGCCGAGCTCAGACGCTGCCAGGGGCCTCGGGTCCACACCGCCGTAGCCCGTGTGAGGAGCGCAGTGGGCAACAATGTGTTGTTGCGATGCGGAACCATTGGGGTCCCCATCCCTGAGCTGGCCTGGAGAAGGGCAGATGGAAAGCCACTGAATGGGACAGGTGAGTCAGCACAATGGCAGGCGGTTAAGCAGTATTAGCTAGAGGTGCTAGTGATTACAGAGAGCTGGCACAGACACAACAATGCACTGTGATTACACAATACTAATTAGTTCATGCAAATGTACTCAAGTGTTATTCTTTTTTCCCTTCGAATTTACAGTTCAGCTGGAGAATTCGAAGGAGGGAATCGT